AGAATAACCACAGGCATTAAGCTAGAGAGACCTTTACCCTGAAGCTAGAATAGCAGAGGCTCCTTGACTGGGATATGCAAATGAATGAAGACAGATACAAGGATGAACGTTAAGCAATAGGCCACCACTAGCAAACTTAAGCTTGCTTGCTGAATCCTCTCACACATGCCTCCCTGACCCCTATGAAGGAGACAAAAAGTACCAGTGAGGGACTTTGGTCTGCAAAGACATCATTTCTCCCCCTTTTCCACCAACAAAATCTCAGTGGGTCTCATTACTGTGTGTTGGCCTTTTGAGCCACATTGTCTATTAGCTACAAGTAAACATTCATACAGTTCCTAATATTCCATTTCTAAATCCTCTTATTATTTAATCTATCTGGCTACATCTAGACTACATCCCTTTTTCGTAAAAGGGATGTAAATTAGACGTATCGCAATTGCTAATGAAGCGGGGATTTAAATCTCCCCCGCTTCATTAGCATAAAAATGGCTGCCGCTTTTTTTCGTCACGGAGCTTTGATGGAAAAAAGCGCAGTCTAGATGCTGATCTTGCAGAAAATAAAGCCTTTTACGAAAGATCCCTTATCCCTCTCTGAAATAAGGAATAAGGGATCTTTTGGAAAAGGCTTTATTTTCTGCAAGATCAGCATCTAGACTGGCGCTTTTTTCCGGCACAGCTCTGTGCCAAAAAAAAGCGGCAGCCATTTTTATGCTAATGAAGCGGGGGAGATTTAAATCCCCGCTTCATTAGCAATTGCGATATGTCTAATTTACATCCATTTTACGAAAGAGGGATGTAGTCTAGGCGTAGCCCCTGTGTCTAATGGAATGGGCAAAGGGCAAGAAAACCCACTGGGTTGATGTGAAAGATTCTTTCTTGACACAACAAACAGGTCAGCAGACAAACCTACAACCACCTAAAACCAACATTCTATGTATATAGCAATAGCTAGATGGGGGAGGGATGGCTCAGTGGTTTGAGCCTTGGCCTGCTAAAGCCAGAGTTGTGAGCTCAATCCTTGAGAAGGCCATTTGGAGGGAAAAATTTGTCAGGGGTGGTACTTGGTCTTGCTGTGAAGGCAGGGGACTGGACTCAATGATCTTTCAAAGTCCCTTTCAGTTCTAGGAGATAAGTAATCTGTATTTATATAAATAGGGCAAAGAAAGCTGAGGTCTAATCAAGTGGGACTAGCAGCATGAGAAGCCTGAGGAAATTTAAATTAACAGTTGTGAGGTTGTGAGACGCAAGAGGTAGTTAGCTCACATCAATCTGGCTAGCTAAGGGACAGTAGTACAGCCAGGGAGAAGAGGGGCCCTATCTAGGGTGACCATCGGGCCTGTATTTAAGCCTTCTTGCAAGTGTCTCAACTGTTTTTTAAAAAAGTGGGTGAATGGTCCCATATTTTCAGCTCTGGTGCACCCTCTGCTGGACAGTTGTCATCAGTGCAGCTGCAGCCACCTGTTTGTGGCTGGCAGGTGAATGCAGCAGGCTAAAAAGACTGTCATGGTGAGAGGAAGTACTATATGTTAATGCCTGTGGCACATTTGCAATAGCATGCTAGAATTCACAAAACTAATAAATAAGCCTAAACAGCCCTAGGAGGCGGGGCACCACTAGGCCCCAGAGTGTAGAAAATTATGTCTGCTGCTAGTGCATATGTATTCTCTCTGCAGTACCATGAGAGGAGCAGAACAGGAAGAAGGCAGAATTGAGACCTTTCAAAGTTTTGGCCCAAGCGAGGGATCAGTTGAGCTCCCCGCCTCAGGTGCCAAAATGTTGTGGGCTGGCCCTGGCTGGCGCTCTTCCCACACTGAATTCTCAGCACTCCAAGGCTGAAGCCCTGCTCCGTGGTGCACCCCTGAATCCCCAGTATCACCCAGGCTGAAGTGTGCCCTTCCCCCCAGGATAGCAGCTCCAATCCCTGGCACCCTTCTCCCACCCCCGCAGAATCCCCAAGCCCCTGCACTCGCTTCCCCCAAGGGCTGAAGCCACAAGCCCTGGCAACCCCATGCAGGGCTGAAAGCAAGCACTGAGGGGGCTGAAGTCCTGATCCGTTCCCCCCCTGAAGCCAGGAGCAGCAAGGCTGAATCTTGAATCCCTGGAACTCCGCATGCAGCAAAAGCCCCTACAGAGGGCAGCGCTGGTGGATGCTGGGGATGTTGCCCCCCAAACTTCAGTGGCAGGAAGGGCAGTTCCAGGGACAGGCCCACCCCTCCTTCCTCCCTGTCCACTGGCCAGTTTGGAGGTGAGACGCCAGAGCCCGGCAGACCACAGTAACTGC